TGCTTCCTGGACTCGTTTCTTTCCTTTCCCGTGTTTGGGAAGTTTTCAGCAATTATCTCTTCACATAATTTCTCAGGATCTCTTTCTTCTCCTCCTGGGACCCCTATGATGCGAATGTTGGTGTGTTCAGTGTTGTCTCAGAGGTCTCTCAGGCTGTCTTCATTTTCTTTTCATTCCTTTTTCCGTATTCTGTTCTGTGGCAGTGATCTCCACCATTCTGTCCTCTGGGTCATTTATCAGTTCTTCCGCCTCAGTTATTCAGTTGATCCTCCCAGTATGTTATTCATCTCTGGTTGTTTGTTCCTTAGTTCTTCTAGGTCTTTGGTAAACATTTCTTGCATCTTCTCCAGTTTTCCCAAGATCCTGAATCATCTTCACTATCATTATTCTGAATTCTTTTTCTGGACCATTGCCTGTCTCCACCTCATTTAGTTCTTTTCCTGGGATTTTATCTTGTGCCTTCATCTGGGACATAACTTCCTTTTCATCTTGATTAATGTTCTGTAATATGGTTTTTGTTTTAGTCACTCTGGGATTGTGCTTCTTCTTTTTCTGTCTGCCCTCTGACGGATGAGGCTAAAAGGCTTTTGTAGGCTTCCTGGTAGAAGGGACTGGCTATGGGAAAAACTGGCTCTTGCTCTGGTGGGCAGGGCCTTGCTTAACTTTTAGTGTCTGTTCTTTCCTCTATTGTTTTCTAGTCTCAATTTCGTATCTCTGCTTCATTCTCTTCTATTGCTTTCCATCTGCTAGCTTTAGGTTTAGCTTGTTCTTTTTCGAGTTCCTTAAGGCATCCAATTAGATTACTGATTTTATCTTGGAATGTAGAAAGTTATAGCTATGAATATCCCTCTGAGCAGATCAAAAAGCAACAGTTAGAAACAAACATGGAACAAAGAACTGGTTCAAAATTGGGAAAGGAGTATGTCAAGGCTGCATATTGTCACTCTATTTACAATATACACAGAGTACATCATGCAAAATGCCAGACTGAATGAACCACAATCTGAAATCAAGATTGCTGGGAGAAATATCAACAACCTCAGATATGCATATGATACCACTCTAATGGCAGAAAGCAAAGAGGAACTGAACAGTCTCTTGATGAGGTGAAAGAGTGAAAAGGCTGGCTTGAAATTCAGCATTATAAAAACTGACTGGGAGAGAGGACAGGAAGGGGCTTCTAAGGTGTTGATTAAGTTTCTTCTTGCAGTTGGTTGTTTCATGAACATTTGCTTTATGGTAATTCACTAAACTGTACCATGAAATGCGCTTTGGAACTTTTTAAATTTAATTTTAGCTGCGCTGCATCTTCGTTGCTGTGTGTGGACTTTCTCTAGTCGTGGCAAACAGCTGTCTCTGGTTGCAGTGTGGGGGATTCTCACTGCAGTGGTTTCTCTTGTTGTGGAGAGTAGGCTCAGTAGTTGTGGCCCATGGGCTTTGCTGCTCCCCAGCATGTGGAACCTTCCCCAACCAGCTACTGAACCTGGGTCCCCTCAATTGGCAATCAGATTCTTAACCACTGGACTACCAGGGAAGTCTAAGGTATGCTTTTTCTATTCTCTATTTCACAGTGCATGCTAGCTTGCTTCAGTCGTGTCTGACTCTGTGCAACCCCATGGACTGTAGCCTGCCAGGCTCCACTGTCCACGGATTCTCCAGGCAAGATTACTGGAGTGGGCTGCCACGGCTTTCTCCAGGGGCTCTTCCAGAACCAGAAATCAAACCCGCGTCTCTTATGACTTCTGCATTGGCAGGCTGTTTTTTCTTTTTGCCACTAGTGCCACCTAGCAAGTCCATATTTCACAGTGTAAAAGGCCTTGAGTAAAAACCTTAAACATTTAACAACCATAAACATTTCATAAAAGCAAGGGTTAAAAACAGGGAGGGAGGTTCAAAGGGAAGGGGACATATATACACACACCTCTGGCTGATTCATGCTGAGGTTTGGAGAAAACAACAAAATTCTGTAAAGCATTTATCCTTCAATAAAAAAATAAAAAGAAAAAGGGGCTAAAGACAAAAAAAGCAAGGATAAATACTTCTGGAGGAATCCACCTTCAATCTAGATCTCAAAGAATTTTCAGATAGCACACCAAGTTAAATGGGTTCAATGTAAGGGAGAAAAAAGTTCACAAAACATACTGAGAAGGATGTCACTATTAGAGCCAGCAGGAATAAAAGGCCTCAGAATTAGATCCACAAAGACTGTGGGTACTGGAATCAACACAAATGTGGAACTGACAAATCTTTAAGAAAACTTCTTTAAAATAGAGGGAAAGCATAAATTAGTATATGATAAAAAGGTGCTGCAGAAACTAGTTTACAAGAGAATATTTTGAACTTGATACCAAACTCTTACAAAAAGATGAAATACACAATTTGTAGAAACCTGTAACTGATTTTAAATATGAATAATTCAGAAACATTTAAAAAAAAACAAAATCAGGTCTTCACTTGTGGTCCAGTGGTTAAGACTCCATGCTCCCAAAGCAGGTTTCATAGCCGATTAGAGAACGAGAGCCCGCATGCCACAACTAAGAAACAGCAGAGGCAGAAAAAGAAATCTGCATTTTAAAGTCTTTCCTTGATAGGTTAATGTAACTTGTGAGCATGTATTTTTAAAAACCCTAAACCAAAAAAAAAAACAAAAAACCCCAAAAAACCATAAACCAAACATTTGGATCATAGAAAAAGCAAGAGAATTCCAGAAAAATATCTACTTCTGCTTCACCAAAGTGAAGTGAAAGTCGCTCAGTCATGTTCAACCCTTTGCGACCCCATGGACTATACAGTCCATGGGATTCTCTAGGCCAGAATACTGGAGGGGGTTACCATGCCCTTCTCCAGGGGATCTTCCCAACCCAGGGATGAAACCCAGGTCGTGCCCACTGCAGGTGGGTTCTTCACCAGCTGAGCCACCAGTCTGCCCACAGTGCAGAAGACTTGGGTTTGAGTCCTCGGTTCAGAAGACCCCCTGGAGAAGGAGATGGCAGCCCACTCCAGTCTTCTTGCCGGAGAATCCCGTGGACAGAGGCTGGCGGGCCACAGTCCGTAGGGTTGCAAAGAGCTGGACACAGCTGAGCAACTACCCTTTCTGCTGCACTGACTCCACTCAAGTCTTTTGGCTGTGTGGATCACAAGTTGTGGAAAATTCTTAGAGACTGGAATACCAGACCACCTGACCTGCCTCCTGCGGAATCTGTATGCACGTCAAGAAGCAACAGTTAGAACTGGACATGGAACAGCAGACTGCTTCCAAATTGGGGAAGAAGTATGTCAAGACTGTATATTGTCATCCTGCTTATTTAACTTCTACGCAGAGTACATCATGTGAAATGCCAGGCTGGATGAAGCACAAGCTGGAATCAAGATTGCCGGGAGATCATCCTAAAGGAGATCAGTCCCGAATATTCATTGGAAGGACTGATGCTGAAGCTCTAATACTCTGGCCACCTGATGCAAAAGAGCTGACTCATTGGAAAAGACCCTGACACTTGGAAAGACTGAAGGTGGGAGAATGAGAATGAGATGGTTGGATGGCATCACTGACTCAATGGACTTGAGTTTGAGCAAGCTCCCAGAGTTGGTGATGGACAGGGAAGCCCTGCATGCTGCAGTCCACAGGGTCGCAAAGAGTCGGACACAAATGAGTGACTGAACAACAAAACCAAATAGTGGCAAAAGAAAGAAACGTGTTAAGTCAATAAATCATGAACAAAGTGGATTTACCAAAGAAATGCAAACCTGGTATACACTGAAAAAAAAATTAATGTGAAACATAGTATTAACTGATCTCAAGGGGGAAAATATCCTGTATCCCAGTACAGGAGAAAAAGAATCAATAAGGACATACATCCATTGTGGACAAAATAAAACAGAAATAAAAGACAAACTCTTACCTCATGCTTGGAAAAGGAACCTTCCTTTCTTGCTGACTCTCTTACAAGTCGAGCAAGAAAGAGAATGTTCCAAGAATTAGACCAAGTCACTGAAAATGATATGGCTGTGAATGTAAAGGATTCAATAGAACCCAGAGACTTACCAGAATAAAGCTTTGGCAAGGATGCTTACACAATATACAAAAAGCACCATGTGCAAACAACAGGAAAATGTAGTTAAAACACAGCTTAAGTTTCAAAAGTAAGAAACCTACAAACAAGCCCCTTCAGTAGGCAGCTCTGGGGGCCCCGCTGCTAACCCTCTCACAGGACGCTCCTCTCCTCCCAGGGCCTGCCGAGGACAGAGGCCTCCTGGATCCTGGCTTCAGGACCACTGCTGGGTTGTGGTGGCCACCCAGGAAGCGTGGGGTCAGCCAGAGCTTCAGGTCTTGGGAGGCCTGTACCCCGGGAGGTGTGGGCCTGAACTCTGCCCTCAGGAGCCGTTCCTCTTCGCCCTACCTAGACTACGCGACTGAACAAGTTTTTGCCTCTGGTGGTCTCCTGCGGAAGGCAGGCCTCTGAAGTTCACCAGTCGTGTGCCCGAGCCCCAGGCCTCCAGCACGTGAGCCTGCTCCATCTCAGGACCACCAGACAGGAATGGAGAAAGGCACACAGAAGGCCAGCTCTGCCCTCACTTCCTCTCTGAGACCTCAGGCCCATCCATCCTTTCAGCTTTCCCAAGGCACTCACAGTCACACCATGCCCTCCTGGTCCCCGTTCCCACATGGAGGACAAACCGCGTGTGGTGGCTGGCACGCTAGGTCCGTGCTGCTCGGAGCTCCACTCCCGGGCTGGCACGGGCAAGTCGGAGCAGACAGCCCGCAGCCCACCTCACTCCTTAGGGGCTGAAGTTAAAATTCTGCTCGACACACGGCTCCGACCAAGAGTGACCTTTTACCTGCTGGCTTCTAAGCTGGTACATACATGACCAAGCCACCTTCCCACACGTGTGCCCCAAGATACACAAAGCTGGAGGCAGACAGGAATCATGTACCTTGGGCAAGGGTGTGGGTTGAGAGGTGAAATGGATCCCGATGAGTAAATGAACGCACAAAAAAGGTACCTGGTTCAAGTTAATGATTTATTTTCACCTGTAACACTAGCAGAGAAGTCAAAAACAGACTGACAGACATGGATAAAGTTTATAAACGTAACAAAGAAAGATCTGAACTATGTACACTGAGGGAGGGAAAGGGATTTTTCCATATCAACTTTTCCTATTTTGCAATTTCTGAATAGTAGAAACTAAACATTTTCCCCCAGTTTAGTATGAAGGAACACCACTTTTATGATCAACCATTTGTCCTTAAGCATAAAGCCTAAGAGATTTTGGCTGTATGGTTGTCCTGGCTTATGAAGTCTGGGTATTGTTAGAACATTTAAAAAAAAAAAAAGAAAAAAAAAGGAGTATTCCATGAAGCCCTGAAGGAACTTCATGGGGACACTGTGTCTACTCAAAGGGCAGACAGTGCCGTCATGCTGACGAGAACTGATATCCTGCCTTCCTCGACTGTAAGGAGAAAATAGTACTTTATCAAACCAACTGGAAGTGAGCCAAACAGTTATAAAGTCAGAATGAAGCATGAATTTTCCTTTCACAGAGGAGGGACACTCCTTCGGCCCTGTTTAAAGTGAATTCTGTGCTGAGTCCCTGCTCCTCCAGAAGGAAAAACTGAAGGTCAGTTATTGCTAGCAACGCCAGAGGAGACCCCCCCTTCCACCTTGAAGCTGTTTCACACGGAAGGCTGTGGGTTTGGCTTGAAGCCCTCTGAGGAAGGAGGGTGTGGAGGTGCAGGCGGCAGGCTCTGCAGGGCTTCTCCCCCAGGAGCCACCCCCGGGCCATTCTGCCACCTCCTTGAGGACCAGAGGCTCTCACGCCTGGAGTCGAGCAGAAGGGTGTTACCTGAGCCCCTGGGGAGGAGGGGCCACAGAACTCTGCCGCCAAAATCGAAGGAGCAGTCGAAGCCCAAAGGATCAAGGCCCAGCGGCCAGAAGAGCAGCCTCTGAAATGAATGTCAGTTGCGGGGGTGGTGGCGCCCAGCTTGAGTCTGGAGAGCCGAGCTTTGAGTCGCAAGTGGCTGTGACTTGGCCAACAGGATGGACGTGGGCAGCTGATAAGGCCACAATTACTGCCACCGCCACCCGGGTCTATGCTTGAGTAGACGTTAGGCAGTGGGAACTGAGGACCAGAGGGCCTATGGTAAACACGGGATGATTTTTATCAGAAAAGAGGACACCCGGCCACGTGCCTGCCCCACTGTGACTCCTGCGCCAGGTGAGCTCGGGCGCGGGTCCAGGTCCTGAGAACAGGCGGCGAGCAGGACGGGGCAACACAGGCACTGCTCCGCAGGTGACACGAGGCCCCCCCAAGGACACTGAGAGTGCTACATCTCCTGGGCTGCTGAAAAGGAGGCAAAGAACGGGCTTTATTGCACATTTCATTCTTAGAAAACTAGGGATTGCCCTGCCAAGGCCTTGGTGATCTGCAGGAACCTCTGACATCGATGTAGGTGGACTCATGGGTGGCCTCTAAATCACAAGGGATGGAAAACAAAGTCCAGTGGTTGGTCTTTCTGGGGCCACGCTTGCTTCTGGGATCCTCAGACTGGATGGACCATGTGTGGCTTGTCACTGCGGTGGGCAGATGCCTGGGACGAGGTAGCATGCCCAGGAGAGCTGGGCGGACCTACATGCTCTCTGACCAGGGCTGGTGCTCCACGACACCACCAGGAGGAAGATGGGGCAAACTCTCCAAACAGGGAAAACTTCTTGGCAAACGGGCAGCTTCTGAAAGAGGCTAGAACCATGCTTCTCATTTCCAGCATGCCTGACTCCCTCTCTCTACCCTAGAACCAGACTACCCAGGAGATGTCGACCGGCTGGGAGGGGCCTGGCTCCAGCTCCACGGCATCCAACTAGAGGTAACAAAAGGATCTAAGATGGGGTTGGAAACAAGAGAGCAGTTTACACACTGGACGTTGATTCTGAAAGTCTTTTTGAGCTCAAGAAACGGGAGGCAGACGAGCCACGTAAGGCGCACAGAGAGCCCGCCAGGCTCTGTGTCCACTTGTCTCTCCTGAGCAACACTCGGCACTTCATATGTAAATGGGGTGGTACCGTTTGTGGCTCATCTTTTTCCTGCAAGTTGGGCAAGTGTTAGCATTCTTCAGGGAATCACGGAGGCACTGGCTACAGAAGACGTGGCCACACTCTGTAGAAACAATGAGACGTCCATTCTGCACAATCTGGAAAACATACAGACAACCTTCAGGTCACGTCTTGTACTGGAGCAGCCGGAGCCCCAGCGTCCACTCCCGCCTGTTCCTAAGATGACGAATGAGCGGGGAGGGGCTGGGGGCTGCAGCAGGAAAGCAGGGAGGGGGTCTGGAGAACTAAGGATGCTCCTCTGCGGCTCAGGCAGGTACTGGCGGCATCTCTGAAGCCAAAAAACAGGCAGGAGCCACCCTTGGGCAGTGAGAGCCCAAGGTGAAACCCTGGGGCTCGAGGAACCCCAGGCAGCAGTAGGGCAGAGCCAGAGGGCCCAGGGCCATGGAAAACACTGGCAGCGTCTGCTGAGGCCGGGCGGGGAACACATAGGACTGGCACAGGGCAGTGCAGGGAATGAAGGGGCCACAGTCCAAGACTGTGCAGCCCAAAGAGAAGGCATGGCCTCCCGTCACAGATGTGCACCACGCCATGTGCCAGCCCTGGCATGACTGCAAGACAGGCGTAAAAAAGCCCACCCGAGAAGCGCTCGTCTCATTCCCTGACTGAAGCAGCCTGAGGCCAGGACCAGGGAAGACGCAGCCGAGCCTGCTTACCTCCGAGTACCCGTCCATGCAGATGGGGCAGCTGACGGTGCCCGAGGGCCTAGAAGCACAGAGCTCACGTCAGGGAAGCAAGCCGGACGGTCAGTTCCTAACGCTATGTGACTCCATCTAAGCCGCCCATGCCCCCTCCTCACAGCCTCATGCCCAAGTGCCACAGCCCAGGCACTTGGGAGGTTGGCAGTCCCATGGCACAGGGGTCCTCGGAGAAAGGGGGGAAGAGAGAGCAAGAGAAACTGCAGACAACGGGAGTCCCCCTTGAAGCCTCCCTGTCTGGGGCAGGGGCTGGCCGAGCACCCCCTTCCTCCAAGCATTCCCGCTGCAGGAGGCGGGGGTGCTGGGGCGCACCCTCAGCTACTCTCACGCCCTGGCGGTGCCTGGTGCACCTGGTCAGGTCACAAGGGGAATAGTGGAGCCCAGCCTGGGATCCGCCCACCACCCAGACGCTTCAACAAGCCCTTCCTGAGCCCAGGATTGAAGCATTTGCCGAGGGGCCAGGATTTCTAACACCCTGCCTCCGCCCAGCCTCTTCACTGGAAACTGGAGGAAGAAGGGATGCTCACTCCGGGGACAAGGGCCCATGTGTCCAGAGGCTGCCTGGCAGACAGCCTACCCCCAGCACGGCCCCTGGTACCTGAGGCCCACCGCTGCCTCCTCCCTGGCACTCCTGGGGGAGTGGGTGGTCACATACACGTCCTTGTCCCGGGCCAGCTCCTCCTCGTCACTGCTCACCACGCAGCTATCCGCGTGGTCCTGGCGCAGCCGCCGGCCGTTCCTCCTCGGCCGCCTCCTCTCTAAGGTGCGAGTCCTTGTTCAAGGAAGGGCCTCTCAGCCCCATCCGCCTCGGGACCAGCCTCCCGTCTTCCCAGGAGGAGCCCCGAACCCTTCTGCGAGCAGAGGCGGGGTGAGTCCCCGCAGCAGGCAGGGCTGCCCCAGGGGGTATTCCAGCCCTCGGCCAAACCCAAGGAAGGAGGGAGATCACTCACCTTCAACAATCTTGGAAACATGAGAAAAACAGAAGAGAAAGACACAGTTAACTTGACATAGGATATTCTGCACTCTTTAACACTCTTCAACAATCACGCTGGTACGTTTGGTTCCCATGCGGGATCCTCAGGGGAGCAGCCAGGCCGGAGTGGCTGAGCCCGGCGCCCGGTGCTGAGGGCCCGAGGAGCTGCGTGGGCGGGTGTACCACTCACCCTCCCGGAGCTGCCCATGGCCTTTTCTCAAACAGAGGCCCCAGTGCCACACCGCCAAGGGCACCAGGGGCCTGCAGCCCACCACCTGCCACACAGGCTACTGCCAGAGACGGGGCCTTACTGGGAGAAGGCTTTGCAGGCTTCGTGCTTTACCGACCAGAGGAGGTCAGGCAGGGACCCTGAGAGCAGCGCATGCCACGGACTGAGACCAACCCGGCCCTGTGCTGGAGGCGGGCAGAGACCAGCAGGGAGGACCCAGCGGCCTCCTCTCGCTTGGCACGTGCTGTGGTTCTGACACGCTGACGTCCCTGGCAGCCCTGCTGCTCCCACTGTTCCCAACAGCATCTGCTCACTTCGTGTCTGTGTCAGCGTCCAGGAATTCTCACAGCATCTCAAACTTTCTCATTGTTGCTATAGTCATCACGGCTCTATCTAATCAGTGATTTCTGATATAAGTACCCTAACTGTTTTGGGGCATCACGAACCTCACCAATATAAGATGATGAGCTTAAGTGATAAATATACACTCTGACTGTTCCACAGACCAACTGTCCCATGACTCCCTCCCTCTTCTTGAGCCTCCCTACATCCTAGACACAACAATACTGAATACAGGCCAATAAGTCACCTTACAACGGCCTTGCAGTGTTGAAGCGAAAGAAGAGCTGCATATCTCACTTTAAATCCCAACCTAGAAATGACGAAGCTTAGTGAGGAAGGCACTTCAAAGGTTAAGACAGGCCAAAAGCCAGGCCTCCTGCACCAATTAGCTGGCTTGTGAATGCAAAGGAAAAGTTCCTCACGGAAATGTGAAGTGCTCCTCCAGTGAATGCACAACGATAAGAAAGTGAACAGGCTTACTGCTGACGGGGTGAAAGTCGGAGTTGGACTGGACGGAAGATCCAACCAGCCACAGTGTTCCCATAAACCAAAGCCCAAGGCAGAGCAAGACCCCAACCTCTTCAATTCCGTGAGAACGGAGAGGGGAGGAAGCTGCACAGTGTGAAGCTGGCAGGGGTTGGATCCCAAGGTCAAAGGAAAGACGCTGTCTCTGGCACATCAGAGTGCAAAGGTGAAGCTGCAACTGCTGAGTTACCCAAAAGAGCCAGCCAAGGTCACTGATGTGGGTGGCTACACTAAACAGCAGGTTCTCAGTGTACGACAAAGCCTCTCTGGGAAGGAGATGACATTCAGGACTTGGGTAGCTAGAGAAGCCCATGCCTGGCTTTAGAGCTGCGAAGGGCAGACTGGCTCCCTCACTAGGAGCGTAGATAGCTGGTTGAAGTAATGCTCGTTTACCATTCCAGAAACTCTACAGCCCCTAAGAATGGTGCTTAATCAACCCACTCTGCCTGTGTGCCATAAACAGAACAACAAAGCCTGAATGGCAGCACATCTTGTCACCACATCATTTACTGACCATCTTAAACTGACACATACTGCTCAGAAAAAGATTTCGTTCAAAACATTCCCTCTCACTGACAATGAACCCGATCATCCAAGAGCTCTCTGGAGATGGACAACGAGACAAATGCTGTTTTCTTGCCGAGTAACACAACATCCTGCAGCCCATGGATCAAGGAGTCATTTCAACTTTCAAGTCTTGTAATTTAAGAAATATATTTCTAACCCTACAGCTGCCATAAACAGTACTTTCTCTGATGGATCTGAGCAAAGTAAACCAAAAACCACATGGAAAGCAGAGATATCACTTTGCCGATAAAGGTCTGCATAATTAAAGCCATGGTTTTTCCAGTAGTCATGTATGGATGTGAAAGTTGAACCATAAAGAAGGCTGAGCGCCAAAGAATATGATGTTTTTGAACTGTGGTGTTGGAGAAGACTCTTGAAAGTCTCTTGGGACTGCAAAGAGATCAAACTAGTCAATCCTAAAGGAAATCAGTCCTGAATATTCATTGGAAGGACAGATGCTGAAGTGCCAATACTTTGGCCACTTAATGCAAAGAGCTGACTCATTGGAAACGACCCTCATGCTGGGAAAGATTGAGGGCAGAAGGAGAAGAGGACGACAGAAGATGGATGTTGGATGGCATCATGACTCAATGGACGAGTTTGAGCAAACTCGGGGAGGCAGTGGAGGACAGAGGAGCCTGGTGTGCTGCAGTCCATGGGGCCGCAAAGAGCCAGACAAGGCTTAGTGACTGAAAAACAAATGAATACATGGTGGCCAGAGAGCTCCCTTCACTGGTGATGACTATGTCACCATGTTCAAAGGAAAAAGAGCTCGGAGATAAGACTTCTTGCCCAAAGGACAAAAAAGAATGGACCCACAGCCTGGCCTCCCAGCTCCATGCCCTTCCTGTAACCTTGAGTCATCTCCTAGCTGATGGACAATAACATAATTTGTTCAGTTCAGTCGCTCAGTTGTGTCCGACTCTTTGCGACCCCATGAATCACAGCACGCCAGGCCTTCCTGTCCATCACCAACTCCCAGAGCTTACTAAAATTCACACGCATCGAGTTGGTGATGCCATCCAGCCATCTCATCCTCTGTCATCCCCTTCTCCTCCTGCCCGCAATCCCTCCCAGCATCAGGGTCTTTTCCAATGAGTCAACTCTTCACATGACATGGCTAAAGTACTGGAGTTTCAGCTTCAGCGTCAGCCCTTCAAATGAATACCCAGGACTGATCTCCTTTAAGAAGGACTGCTTGGATCTCCTTGCAGTCCAAGGGTCTCTCAAGAGTCTCCTCCAATACCACAGTTCAAAAGCGTCAATTTTTCGGTGCTCAGCTTTCTTCACAGTTCAACTCACATCCATACGTGACCACTGGAAAAACCATAGCCTTGACTCGAAGAACCTTTGTTGGCAAAGTAATGTCTCTGCTTTTTAATATGCTCTCTAGGTTGGTCATAACTTTCCTTCCAAGCAGTAAGTGTCTTTTAATTTCATGGCTGCAATCACCATCTGCCGTGGTTTTGGAGCCCAAAAAACAGTCTGACACTGTTTCCCCATCTATTTCCCATGAAGTGATGGGACCAGATGCCATGATCTTAGTTTTCTGAATGTTGAGCTTTAAGCCAACTTTTTCACTCTCCTCTTTCACTTTCATCAAGAGGCTTTTTAGTTCCTCTTCACTTTCTGCCATAAACATAATTTGTAGGATATAGCTAAAGATAATATAATCTTTAATTCACATATTAAAAAAGAAATGATGAAAATTAGCAAAATAACTCAAAGAAAGGAAAAACCAATGAATGAAAACAAACTTATAAGAAAAAGGATACACAAAGCTAAAAGTTGGTTCTTTGAAAGATCTAATAAAACGCTAAAAAAAAAAAAACCAGAAAACACAACCAGTTTCAGAAATGAGACATCACTACAGATTCCACAGAACTGAAAACATCACAAATTTATGCCAATAAAAATGAAAATTTTAGATGAAATCAACAAATTCCTACAAAGTATAATTAACAAAGTGAAATGAAAAGTGAAAGCTGACCACTTGTGTTCAACTCTTTGCGACCCCATGAACTGTATCCCAACAGGCTCCCTCTGTCAATGGGATTCTCCAGACAAGAGTACTGGAGTGGGTTGCCATTTCCTTCTCCAGGAAAATCTTCCTGACCCAGGGACTGAACCCAGGTCTGCTGCATTGCAGGCAGATTCTTTCCCATCTGAGCCACCAGGGAAGCCCAATAATTACCAAAGCATGAACACGTAGTTGCTCAGTCATATCCAGTTCTTTTCGACTGCATGGACTATAGCCCACCAGGTTCCTCTGTCCATGGGATTTTCCAGGCAAGGATACTGGAGTGCAGTGCCATGCCCTCCTCCAGGGGATCCTCCTGACTCAGGAATCAAAACTAGACCTCCTGCATTGCAGGCAGCATCTTTATCGTCTCAGCCACCAGAAAAGCCCCAATAATTACCGAAACCTACTAAAACGCTACTTCTGCTTTATTGATCACGCCAAAGCCTTTGACTGTGTATATCACAATAAACTGTGGAAAATTCTTCAAGAGATGGGACTATCAGACCACCTTACCTGCCTCCTGAGAAACCTGTACGTAGGTCAAGAAGCAACAGTTAGAACTGGCATGGAACAACAGACTGGTTCCAGACTGGGAAAGGAGTACGTCAAGGCTGTATACTGTCAAGTGCTTATTCAACTTACATGCAGAGTATCATGTGAAATGCCAAGCTGGATGAAGCACAAGCTGGAATCAAAATTGCTCGGAGAAATGTCAACAACCTCAGATATGCAGATGACAACAGCCTCATCGCAGAAAGTGAAAAGGAACTGAAGAGCCTCTTGATGAAAGTGAGAGAGTGAAAAAGCTGGCTTAAAACTCAACATTCAGAAAACTAAAATCACGGCATCTGGTCCCATCACTTCATGGCAAACACTGACAAACTTTATTTTTTGGGGCTCCAAAATCACTGCAAATGACTGCAGCCATGAAATTAAAAGACGCTTACTCCTTGAAAGAAAAGCTATGACAAACCTAAATAGCATATTAAAAAGCAAAGACATTACTTTGCTAACAAAGGTCCATCTAGTCAAAGCTATGGTTTTTCTAGCAGTCATGTATGGATGTGAGAGTTGGACTATAAAGAAAGCTGAGCACCAAAGAATTGATGCTTTTGAACTGTGGTGCTGGAAAAGACTCTTGAGAGTCACTTGGACTGCAAGGACATCGAACCAGTCCATCCTAAAGGAAATCAGTCCTGAATATTCACTGGAAGGACTGATGCTGAAGCTGAAACTCCAATACTTGTGGCCACCTGATGTGAAGAACTGACTCACTGAAAAAGACCCTGATGCTGGGTCTT